CATTACTGGAATTCTCAGGACTGCCTTCTAAACCAGTTTAAAAGTGACAGAGGAAACCTGTCACACTGCTTCATGTTGTCACTTTATATTTTAAAAAGCTTATGTAAATGGCTTACCAGGCTCAGCTGGTAAAGAATCCACATGCAATGCGGGAGACTCCACTTGGATTCCTGGGTCTGGAAGATCACCTGGATATGGGATAGGCAACCCACTCCAGTATTCTTGGGCTTCCCTTGTGGCTCAGAAAGTAAAGAATCTGCCTACAATGGCAGGAGACTTGGGTTTGATACCTGGGTTGGGAAGATCCCCTAGAGAAGGGAATGGCTACCCATTCCAGTATTCTGGCCTGGAGAATTCCATGGGCTATATAGTCCATGGGGTGGCAAAGAGTCAGACACGAATGAGCAACTTTCACTTACTATTCACCACATCTCTTCCCTTCAGACACACAAATTATTCTGAACATTCCTAAAACCTAATGCATACATTTAAGAATAGTGTGCCTGTCTTCAGGTCATTCTCTTTTCCTAAAAGGTGCTTCTACGCTCTCTTCAGCCCACCTGTGATTCCTTCAGTGTATAAGAAAGAGCTGATATGTTACATCCTACAACCAATTTTTCTTGACCAGAATTCATTCCTCCCTTTATTATTCTTTCACAAAACATTACTGAGAATTACCTGAAGATACTCTCATTGGCATTAAGACTGTGAAGACATTATTTCTAAACTTCAAAAGAGTACCTGACACCAAGAACGTAAAACAGCAACTTGTTAAACTGAATTCAGGACATGAATTTTTTTAAAAAGTATATTTTCAATATTGGCAAAAATGAGTTGACAAGCATTTCAGAATAAATATATTTTCTTTTCATTCATTTTTGAAAGCCTAAAGAATCATTTGCTAGAGATTACTCGTCTATTTTTCATATTTGCTAAACAAAGGTGCTTACATTTGACTCAAATAACCTGAAATGGTTTTCTTTACAGGCACAAAATAAATACCTACTACTGTAACTACATCAGTCAGTATGTTACTATGGGTAAAATGGGCATTTTAAGTAAAAAAAAAAAAGAATAAAAAATAAAATCAGTATGAGATAATTTACTAAGCCACATATTTTATATGATTTATAATGTAAATCATACAATATATAATTTTAAAAATATTTCTTAGTTCATGTCATTAAATGAAGAAAATCTTATCAATTTAAAAGTTATTCCTAGAAAATACTTTATTCAGAAAAACACCAGATATGCTTTATATCAAAAGATTGTCAAATACATCATCTAGTTGTCTTTACATATTTGTAAAACCAACTGAAGTAGTATCTCTGAGAAAAGGCAACTTTAGCTAAAATGGCCATTCAAATTACCATGGTTCAAAGTTTTTCCATCCTTTCTGCTTATCTACTCACTTGTTTTAACCTATAAATAGCACCGAGTAAAGCTCTATTCATGCAGAATGCTGAGCTGGATGACACAAAAGCTGGAATCAAGATTGCCAGGAGAAATCAGTAACCTCAGACACACAGATGACAACATCCTAATGGCAGAAAGTGAAGAACTAAAGAGCCTCTTGATGAAAGTGAAAAAGGAGAGTGAAAAAGTTGGCTTAAAACTAAACATTCCGAAAACTAAGATCATGGCATCTGGTCCCGTCACTTCCTGGCAAATGCATGGGGAAACAATGGAAACAGGAACTTTATTTTTGGGGGCTCCAATATCACTGCAGATGGTGACTGCAGCCATGAAATTAGGACATTTGCTCCTTGGAGGAAAAGTTATGACCAACTTAGACAGCATATTAAAAAGCAGAGACATTCCTTTGCCAACAAAGGCCCATCTAGTCAAAGCTATGGTTTTTCCAGTAGTCATGTATATATGTGAGATTTGGACTATAAAGAAAGTTGAGTGCTGAAGAACTGATGCTTTTGAATTGTGGTGTTGGAGAAGACTCTTGAGAGTCCCTTGGACTGCATGGAGATCAAACGAGTCAATCCTAAAGGAAATCAGTCCTGAATAGTCACTGGAAGGATTGATGTTGAAGCTGAAACTCCAATACTTTGGCCACCTGATGTGAAGAACCCACTCATTGGAAAAGATCCTGATGCTGGAAAAGACTGAAGGCGGGAGGACAAGGGGATAACCGAGGATGAGATGGTTGGATGGCATCACCAACGTGATGGATACGAGTTTGAGCAAGCTCCGGGAGTTGGGGATGGACAAGGGAAGCCTGGCGTGCTGCAGTCAATGGGGTCGCCAAGAGTCGGACACGACTGATCGACTGAACCGAAAGCTCTATTCTTGTCAGTAACCTATTCTCTTCATTAAAAGAGAAACTTATGTTGTGTATTTTCTTTAAAATTTTCTAATGTCGTCTATCCATTTTACTATTTCCCTTGATTCACCTTTGTTTTATCTAATTCATGAAGCTTCATCCATATCTCTGATAAAATATTTCCATGTGCTCCAATTTTCAAGAATTCCTACCGCTGACACTGTCCATATATGCATTATTATCTGGGTGATAATCTAAAAGTAATATAGTCTATCCCATCAGTGATATCCCAAAGTAATTGAGTATTCAGGTTACTTTTTAATGTCTGAGTCCTTGTATTACTTTTCCCTTTATCTTTACATGCCCTTTATCTTTACATGGCAGAATCTTAAATAAAAAGCACTGAGCTATAAAATGACCACAGATACATTGAAGATTAAAATATGTTTGGCTTAGAAATTTTGCTGAATTACTTCCTCACTCTGTGACCATGTAGAAGTTATTTAATATACCTCAGGTTCACATCTTTCAATAGAGAACATTTATACTTGACTTCTAGGACTCATGTGAGTGAAGTGCTTTGAACAAAGCCTAGCATGTGGTAAATGCTCAATGGATTTTTAACCATCTTTTCCTTTGCTACCTTATTCTATCATATTTATTTTCTAGTGTAGTTTCCTTTCCTTCTTCTTTCTCTCTTCTCCTGCTCATTCTTAGTTGGTGCCCAAAATGCACATTTCACTTTAGCAGTATGTTTATCAAGGGGAGAAAAAATCTGAATCAATTATGCAAATAGCACACATATGTAACTGGCTTTTCATAAAGTTTCCAATCCTCCTCTGTTTGCAGCGCCATCACAAGCATACAGGCACTAGAGTCAGAAATAATGCAGCATGTATTGAAGTACATCACTCACTACCCAGCCTATAAATTCTTGGTATCTTTTGTTCCTTGTTCTCCTTAATACTGGGTTTCTCCCGCAGGGAAATGGAACTAAGACAAACCTCATAGGCCATTGTGAAAAATAAAAGGATAAAATTCTCAGAGCAGTGTCTGGCAAATAGAAAACTATGGAGTAAACATAATTTTTCACACAACTCTGCCCTCTCTCTATGTAATAAACCAGACATAGAAAAGTTCCCAATTCATGACACCTATGATGAAATCATTACAAGAATGATAGTAGTAAGTTTATTTGTAACTCTGTAAGTCCCTATGTCTCCTGGTTACCAGTTTGCATTAAGAAATGCAGCCCTGTGATCAAGCCAAACACAATCACCAGAGCAGAGGCACAACTCCTGCTCTTCCTCATATGATTCTTCGGCTATGATTACATAAAATCAGTGATAGTATGACTGATAACATTGCCTGTCTTTTTTTTTTTCAGAAAATGAAAAAGTAGGGCTTATAGACTACTTAATCATTTCTAAGTCTTTATAAGTTACTTCATCTACTGAGAAAAAGATATAGATCTTGGAAAGATATTCTGGAAAATAAGTTTTATTCACTTCAAAGTAACTTTGATTAATATAACATACTAACTACATTCAATGAATACTGATACATATTCATTTTAATGAAAATACGATAATGAAGGTACAAGCATAATCTTAGTTTAAAAGACACATTCTCAGAAATGGCTTGACAAGAACTCTATTAGATTAAAACTTCAGAAACAATAAAACCACAAGCTGTAAACAAACAAATCTAAAGAAACAAAAAACCTGTTAAACAAAGAAAGATTAAACTCTTACAGGAATTTTTATTTGAAAATAAAAATTTAATGAGTGACTGTTAAATAATTCCTGACACAAAGGTCAAACTCAAATAGCATTATTCTAATGATTCTAAAAACAAAACAATTTTGGGTCAACTTCTCCTTTCAGATTTAAATTTGTAAATCTAACAGAAAAAAGCAATGTAGAATAGTATCAGGGAGAATGTCATGAATGAGAAAAATATAATTTCTAAGAAAAGGAAGAAAAGCTAACCCAAGTATATCTAGAAGCAACTGACTGCCTCCATTGTTGAAGATTTATTTAAGCAGACAAAATCAAGACAAAAAGCATCACAAATCGTCCTTTTATTTTAGCTTGAAATAAAAAATGTAGAAATAAACTGAATGTGAAAATGATGCAAAATATATCAAAACATGTAAAAAGTCAAATACAACCATAGCTAAAATGATGTCAATACCCGAAAAACTGTACTTAGTAAATTATACATCCTTATAAGCCTTTCAAAAGCAACTACACTCTGCTAACAAAAATCTAATTATAATGCATCTTTTTGAAAAGTTCAAAAGATACATACTACTTTAGAAGATTCATATTTTCTAATGAACACCAAATGGTATCTGTAAAACTGACTTATGCTATGATAATCTAAAGTTGTTTACATACAAATATTCAATGAAGTTACCAAATTTAACATATACACAGAAAACATTTATTTTTAAAGAAAATATTTATATGGGCACTATTCTAATACTACTATATATAAACAATATATTAAAGAAAAATTACTAATTTAGAAGAAAGCATTTTCATATATCATTCCACTGATTACCAGTTCTAACTGTATTTTAATCTTTTCCATAGGATTTAAGTTTCATGCTAAAATTCATACTTAAAAACACTGAACAATACTCTGTTCTTTTAATTATTATAATACAGTCTAAAAACCCAACAGAATAACAATTTTGAAAGATATTTAAACTTACCCCATTTAATGGATATGTTTTCCATCCTAGCTCTCCCAGCACAGTTGTTGTATCAAGCAACACAACTGGAATCAAATAAACAACAAAAAAAAACTTGCATGAACTTCTTAATTGATGTAAATAGAAACTAGTTATTTAAATCATTAATGTCAACTACCTTTACTATTATTCTTTGAATTAGCTTTAATAAGTTGCATGACTTACATAAAATTATTTAGAAATACTAAAGCTTAATATATAATAATAATATTGAAAGTGAAAGTCATTCAGTTGTGTCTGACTCTTTGTGACTCCAGGGACTCTACAATCCATGGAATTCTCCAGGCCAGAATACTAAAATTAATGTACATTAATTTTATATTTATTTTATATTTACACATTCATTTTATATTTACCTTGTGGCTCAGCTGGTAAAGAATCCACCAGCAATGCGGGAGACCTGGGTTTGACCCCTGGGTTGGGAAGATCCCCTGGAGAAGGGAAAGGCTACCCACTCCAGTATTCTAAAATAAGAAATGTGTGTTTAACAACACTAAATGAAATGGAATAACATTTTTTTAGTTCCATTTAGAAATGGAATAACATATTTTTAGTAAAAATGATAAGTGTTGGAAGAGGTAAGCAAGAGAATACGACCACCAGATGACCCATAAGCAGGACCTGACTGATGGATGGGAGGCTCTTGAGCTCCTTGCCTGTCCTTAGAATGTACACTCTGCCTATCATTCCCACAGTGGTAGCTGTTCTAAGGGCAGAGCCTTGAGAGGGCAAGGTGCTGCTGAAACCATCTGTATTGTACATATGACTGAACCCTGTTGAGACCTCTAGGACTCTGGTGGTCAAGTGTAGAGGCCTACTTATTTGGCAGCTGCACAAGACAAGTCTTGTACATATAAGACTACTTATTAAACCTGCCACCTACCAGTCTGGAGTGATCTGCTCCTTCCTTTGCTCTGTCCTTGCCCCGTTTGAGTATGGGGCCACTTTGCAGACCAACAGTGAAATGTTTTCCCTCTCATTTATAAAAATAGTCATTTTTTTTTTTACCATATTAAAGAAAGAAAAATTTTAAAGCAGGTCTATATATTTTCTTTCTGTGTTATTAAATGACCTTGTATATTACTGGCAACACATTTTAAATTAACTCATATCTTTAAAGCATGGATTACATTATGACTGTATGCACTAGTACACTTACTGCTGAAGGAAGTAAAAGCCAAAGTAAAAAACACACACATTATTCCCTGACCAAAAGTAACTCATAATCTGGTTGGGAAGACATACAAACAAATAATCAGGACATACTCTCTTAAATTCTAAAATTGTAGACTATACAATAGCTTAACAATTAAATTAGGCTAAGGCAGAATGGACATGAGAATTGGACCATAAAGAAGGCTGAGCACCCAAGAATTGATGCTTTCAAACTGTGGTGCTGGAGAAGACCCTTGAGAGTTGCTTGGACTGCATGGAGATCAAACCAATCAATCCTAAAGGAAGTCAACTCTGAATATTCATTGAAAGGACTGGTGCTAAAGCTGAAGCTCCAATACTTTGGCCACTTGATGCAAAGAATTGATTCACTGGAAAAGACACTGATGCTGGGAAAGAGTGAGGGTGGGAGGAGAAGGGGACAACAGAGGATGAGATGGTTGGGTGGCATCATCAACACAATAGGTATGAGTTTGAGCAAACTCTGGGAGATAGTGAAGGACAGGGAAGCCAGGCATGCTGCAGTCCATGGGGTTTCAGAGTCAGACATGACTTAGCAGCTGAACAACAACAACGAAAAGGCTGGCATGGAGGTCTGAGATGATTTCATAGAGGAAATGCAATTTGGTCTGGGCTAGGATGAAGGGGTCTTTAATCATATGTGCTGAGAAACAAATTTATTTTAGAATACCTTCTATAAAGTCACTGAGCTATAACTAATTAGTTCTCAGTTGCTGGAGTGGGAAGTAGGAAAGGAAAATATTTAGGGGAATTAAGAGAACGGAAATGAGACTAGAAAGATAAATGGAGATCAACTGAGGAGTATTTTGGTAGTGTTTTCACCAAGTTAATGTGTTCAGTTCAGTCACTCAGTTGTGTCCGACTTTTTTGCGGCCCCATGGACTGCAGCATGCCAGGCTTCCCTGTTCATCACCAATGCCTGGAGCGTGCTCAAACTCATGTCCATTGAGTCAGTAATACCATCCAACCATCTCATCCTCTGTTGTCCCCTTCTCCTCCTGCCGTCAGTCTTTCCCAGCATCAGGGTCTTTTCCAATGAGTCAGTTCTTTGCATCAGGTGGCCAAAGTATTGGGAGTTTCAGCTTCACATACGACCCGTATTTTTAACTTCTACCTCCAAATCCCCAGTAAGGTCATGGACCAAACTGTAAGAAACAATGTTTTGGTATCTCATCTCAAGTTTTATTTGATCTAGCTAAGAAAGTGGAGGGTTTTTGGTAGTTTAAAAAAGTGCCATTAGAAATGTGTTATTTGGCATCTGTTGTTTGCTGTTTATGGTAAGGATTCTGTGACTTTTTTTTTAATTTGAATGACTGTGATATACTTTATTGATTTTTAGTATGAAACCCTGCTTAAAGTTCTGGGATAAACTCTACATGCTCATTGCAGAATATTCTTCTAATATATTCACTAAGCATATATTTGTAAAACTGAGCTGCAATGATTTAATTAATTTTAATTATGCAAAATTGTTAAATACTTTAAAATGTGGAGAAAACAGTACAATGAGCCCTCATTGTATTAATTACCCTGCCTCAACTGTTACAAACTTATAACCAATCTTATTTCATCTATACTTGCATACCTACTCTTACTGCAAGATTTCTTTGAAGCAAATTCTATTAATCATCTAATTTCATCTGTAAAAATGTCAGTATGTATATCTAAGATAAAGATTCCTCTTAATATAACTATAATATCTCAATCATTACTATAAATGGTATATATTAATTAATATCATCAAATATCCAGTCAGTGTTCAATATTTCTATGGTTCCAACTTATTTTAACAGAAAATCAACATCTAAATAAGTCCATACATTACAATGAGGTCTTGTTCTCTTCATTTTTCTTTTAATTTTATAGGTCCTCACTTTTTTTTTTAAGTTAGATTTTTTGAGGTATGATTTACTTACAATAAAATTCAGCCTATTTAAATGAGCATTTCTAGGAATTGTGACTAACTCCGATATCACATAACTATCACTACAATCAAGCTATAGAATATTTCCGTCACCACCAAAATTTCCCCTGTGATCCTTTATGGTAAATCCAGTCCCCTCAATAATCCCCAGAAACCATTAATCTGACTTGTCCCTCGATTTTAACTTTCCCATAATGTTGAATGACTGAAATCATACAGTATGATGTTTTCTGAGCCTGTTTTCTTTCACTTAGCATAACACATTTGAGATTCATTTATGTTGCTGTGTGTATCAATATATACAACTGAATACTCAGATCCTTTTTATTGCTGAAAAGTATTATATAGAATGGAATTCCCTAGCTGATGAATTTTCATGTACAGATTTTTATACAAACCAAAGTTTTAATTTCTCCATAGTAAATAGCAATTACATAAAGGATGTTTATTTTTTAAGAAACTGTCAAACTGGATTCCAAAATGGCTGTGTAGTTTTACATTCCCTTTAGTAGAATATATGATTTTCCAATTGTTCTACATATTCACCGGAAGATGTACTGTTCAGTTTTCTTTTTTTAAGGGATTCTAACCAATGTACAATAGTATCTCATTGTTTTAACTAGCAAGTTATCATTTTCACTACATGAAATAAAATTTACTAGAAAAAAATTTGACCCACAAAAGTAGTTTTACCACACATTCTAGATTTTCCTTTTTGTGAGAAATCACTGAACATAATTCCCCATTCTCTGTTTTCTTTAAATTGGTAGATATATTAAGTGGCTTGACCAGATCAAGGTTCCATTTAATTTATTTTTTATGTTTTGCAAAATTACTTCATGGGTGGTGTTTTATAGTCCTTACACCAAACCAAGGAATATATCAGTGTTTACTAGGGGCATGTAAAAAGGACTCAAGAATCAATTTGCATAAACTTCCACTGACTAAAAATAGATAATCTGAACATACACAAGATTAATTACTATAAGGTATTGAAACACTTCAAATATGCTTAAATCCATGCATTCATAGTGATAAAACATACCTACTAATGTATTTTGCAGCACACTAGGAAGGCATTATTTTAAAAATTGTTTAAAAAAACTAAAAAGAATAAAATACTTATTTTGTTTTTAATATATGAACTATTTCTAAATAAAGAAATAATGAAGGAACATTCCTCTTATTGAAATATTTGAGTTAATAAATGAAGAAGGAATGACCAAATTAGGCTACAACATTTTCTATCCTTAATGAATTAATATATTTAGCTAATGACTTCCAATGCTGCTAATATCATGTAAAGAGATAAAAGAACACATAAAGGGCTAGAGCCTTTAAAAAGGCCTTTTTTATAGCTTCATTTACACCATACTAACATATAATTCTAACAAGCCTACAAGTAAAAGAAAGTACAAATGCATACACACACACACACACACACACACACACATATACAAACACACACATGCAAATTCACAAAATGATACTTGACGGCATTTGGGTTCATTCAGTGTAAAAATAATAATCTCACATATTAGAGAAAAAAGCTGAAGTCATAATAAATATTCAAACTCCAAGCTTAAGTTATCAAATGAATATAATTTTACTTTTGGTATATACATGTTAGCTCAGTGGTAAAGAATCCACCTGCTGATAGAGGAGATGCAAGTTCAGTCCCTGGGTTGGGAAGATCCTGTGGNGGTGGATTCTTTACCAGGTGAGCCACAAGTGAAGCCCAAGAATACTGAAGTAGGTAGCCTATCCCTTTTCCAGTGGATCTTCCCCACCCAGGAATCAAACCAGGGTCTCCTGAATTGCAGGCAGATTCTTGGCCAGACCAACTAAGCTATCAGGGAAGTGGATACACAACTCCTTTAAAAATTTAAAGTGTTATATTCCTTCCTT